AACTTATTTTATTGGTCGGGGTCTATTATAGCTATCAACACTCAAGTACCCACTCAATACCTCTCGGTCATAAAGTGATTTTGTCCAATTTGGCTTTCTCAAGTCCAAATGGGTATTGAGCAAAGTAGTTGATAAGAAGATCAAGTCGGGTTTTACTATCTCTAGGTAGAACCTAGAGATAGTAAAACCCGAGAAGGATAAGAGGTGGGTTGCTCGGTTGTTGATTCATCGGGGCCCGTTGAAAACCCGACCCCCGATTTCCTTGGTTGTTGTTCCACCCGCCTTGGTTGTTGCCTCCTTAATTGCCTTGGCTGTTATAGTTTTGCCAATTCTCTTGGTTATTGCTTCACCACCAACCGCCTTGATTGTCGTTATTCCAATTGCCTTGATTGTTTCCACTATTCCAATTACCTTGGTTGTTTAAAGGTCTCCATTGTTGTTGACTAGGGCCTTGGAAGTTGTTTCTTTGCCCTTGAAAGTTGTTCACACATTGGATCTCTTCTTCTTGATCATTGTAAGAATCACCTTGATCAAATCCACTATAATCTTGCACAAAATTGTCCACTATTTGTTGCAATTGTGGACTTCTTGTTCTTCTCTTGTTTACCATCATATTAACTCCCTCCATAGCATTGACTTGCCTCGGGTTTTGCACTTGTTGAAGTTGAGCCTTTGCCAATTGGTTCATGGTGGTTGTCAACTCGGCTATGGCTTGCCCATGGTCATGTAACTCTTTATGAAGAAGAATCACATTTAAATCACCTTGACGAACATTGGCTCTAAATTGCCACGCCGATGAAGTATCCACCATCTCATCCAAGATATCACACACCTCCGCCTAGGGCGTCATGAAGTTCCTACCGGCAAGTTGGTTCACTACACATTGGTTGGTGGTATTAATCCCCCGATAGAAAGTTTGTTGAATCATGTTCTTCGTCATATCATTATCGGGGCACTCTTTCACCATTATTCTATACCTTTCCCATATCTCGTGCAGTGGTTCATTGGGCTCTTGCTTGAATGCTAGAATTTCATCCCGAAGAATAGCCATGTGCCCGGGCGAGAAATACTTTGAAATAAATTTCTTCACTAGTTCATCCCAAGTATGAATGGAATGATTTGGCAAACGTTCCAACTAATCTAAAGCTTTTCCCCGTAGAGAAAATGGAAAAAACCTTAGCCTTAAAGCATCCTCGGAGACAATATTTTGTTTGCTCCCCCAACATGTATCTACGAACCCCTTCAAATGTTTATATGCATTTGACCCGGTGCACCGGTGAAGAACCCTCGTTGCTCTAGCAAAGTGAGCATCACGTTGGTTATTTGTAAGTTTTCTGTCCTAATACGTGGAGGGACTATAGCACTTGCATATCCTTTATTCGGCAACACCCAATGTGGAGCCGCTCGTGGTGGAGGTGGGGGTGGAGCAGGTACATTGTCTCTAGGCGGTCGACCTCCTCTATTGTCCTGAGGTTCAAAAGGGACCTCATCCATTTGATCATCCTCAATATTCACATCCCCCGCGACTATGTTTTCGAGCTTGTTGTTTGCCATGATTGCACCTATAACACTCACACGTTAATAACAAGGAAGGAAAATAAGATATCCCCAAAACACACCTAACTATATAGCTGACACCGTTTTATATCTGCCCGACAACGGTGCCAAAAATTGATCTCATCCAATTTCACCCCTCTCTTTCAGGTTATGAAAATGGTCGATGCAATAGTAATACCCAACAAGAGTCGGGGTAAATTCTACAGGGAGCTATATGAATGCGAGTTAGTAGTATATAACTTAGCGCGCGAGTTTGTATATCTAAATTTACACTTCTGTGATATTTGGTTTTGTTTGAAAATCTAAATTAAACTACGATTGCAATTCAAAGAATGCAACAAGTAAATTATTTTTGTTGTTTTTCAAATGATATAAAAGGCCTAAAGCTATGACCTTCACTTAAGTGTTTGCCTAATGGGTTGTAAACTTTAAAGCTTATTTTATTGGTCGGGGTCTATTATAGCTATCAACACTCAAGTACCCACTCAATACCTCTCGGTCATAGAGTGATTTTGTCCAATTTGGATTTCTCAAGTCCAAATGGGTATTGAACAAAGTAGTTGATAAGAAGATCAAGTCAGGTTTTACTATCTCTAGGTTCAGCCCTTTAATTGGGCTTATCAATATCTCGATTTACCCAATTTCTTGCTAGCCAAGTTTTCCCAGACTAAGTCTCTCTTTCTAAAGTAGAGACCAAGTCAAATAGGCATAAAGTAATATTTGCAACCATTAATTCTTCCAATAAAAATAAGAACAAGGCTAGATAATAAACACCCAACCATAAACAAGCAATAAATCAAACACCCATTAAGTTTGCACACTAGGGTTGAGTCACAACCCTAGTGAAAATTTAGCTACTCATGCTTAAACTAGAAGAAATAGGAGAAGAAATGATAATTAAACCCATATTGATAATTAAGATGACAAAATCTATGTTAAAATAATTCAAAATAGCAAAAAATACTAAAAAGAGTAAAAGAAATCGTCTACTGTAGCTGCTGATGTCAAAAGTTAACCTAAAAAGGTGAAACTCTTCTACTTATACAAAGTTGAAATTTTCTGACAAAAATGCCCTTTCTTAGGTTCTGCGGCCACACAATTCCATGTGCGGTCCGCACTTCTCTTCATCTTGACAGGAGTAGGAATATACGACCGCATAATTCTGATCTACGGTCACACTGCTTTTTTTTCTGTGGTCCGCACAATTTTGGGTGCGGCCGCACCTTGCTCTTCTGCGGTCTGCACAAATGTAAGTGCGACCGCATGGCTCTTCTTCTGTGGCCGCACAATAATTTTTTGGTCCGCACTTTGGATGCAGGTTCTCTGAACTTTTGCTCTTAACCTAGCTTCTACGGCCGCACAATTTATGTGCAAACCGCACTTTGCACAATTGTCTGATGGGAACTTCTTCACAACCTGCGGCCGCAGATGATATTCTGCAGTCCGCACTTCTGAGCTTTTGTGCCTGTTTTTGTCCTTGAGTTCAGATTACTCCTTCTTGAGTTGGATTTCATCTTGGGAGCTCATCTTCCAATATTCCTGTAATTAAGTACATTTCATCAGCTTTAGAGTACACAATTAACCGCTTTTGAACTAAAACAAAAGTTAAAAGGTACTAATAAGTAGTCAAAATCCCCACTTATCAGCTTTCCCTTAGGAATTTATACTATCGAGCAAAAGACTATCTTACAATCCTCAAATGGTTTACACTTGTGAACGGTTGGATACCCTTTGCTTTATAGCAAAATTATTTTTTCGGTGGGAATTTTGCTATAGAGCCAAAGATTAACTAACTGTCCTGGAGTGGTTCTTCGCTTGTGTGACTTGCTATTAAAGGTCTTATTGTTGCCATTGAAACTTTCTTATTACCAGAAAAACCCAATTGGGACAAAACTGGACGAAGGAAAAAAGAGTGCAGCGCATACTTCTAGTACAAACGATGTTTGTCAGCAATAATATCTCTTGAGTTGTGCCATATTCCAATTGCTTGGAATTTTTTCTCCATTCTGATTTTGTAGCTCGTACAAACCTTTCCCGGTGACAGCTGAAACCCGGTAGGGGCCTTCCCAAGTTGGGCCTAACTTCCACGCGTTAAGTTCTCAGGTGTTTTGAGTTACTTTCCTTAAAATCAAATCTCCCACTTTAAAGTAACGAAGGTTGTTCCTTTGATTGCAATATCTTTCCATTATCTACTTTTGCGCCGCCATCCTTATATATGCCAAGTCCTTGCGCTCATCGAGTAACTCCAAGCTGACCAACATTGCTTCATTGTTCGCTTCTTCGCTTGCCTGGAAATACCTTAAGGTAGGCTCCCTTATGTCTTCGATGGCCTTGATCTTATTGGGGTTTACCTCAATCCCCCTTTGTGATATCAGAAATCCTAGGAACTTACCGGAGCTGACCCCGAATGCGCACTTCTCGGGGTTAAGCTTCATGTTATGCTTTCTTAGGATGTCAAAAGTTTCTTGAAGATGCTTAAGGTGATCACCTATATTCAAAGACTTAATGAGCATATCGTCTATATAAACTTTAATAGTTTTCCCTATTTGTTTTTCAAACATCTTGTTTACGAGCCGCTGATAAGTGGCCTCGGCATTCTTCAAATCGAAGGGCATCACATTATAGCAATATGTGTCGAAATGCATTATAAACGAAGTCTTTTCCTGATCCTACAGGTTCATCTTAATTTGGTTATACCCGGAATACACATCGAGAAAACTCATTAACTCGTGCCCGACCTTCACATCAATCATTTGATCGATGTTTGGTAGTGGGAACGAGTCTTTCGGGCACGCCTTATTCAAGTCCAGAGGGATGTTGCTATCCAAACTTAGCTTGTGTATGGCCACCTCCGTTGGGATACCTGTCATGTCCGCATTCGACCAAGCAAAGCAATCGGCATTAAATTTAAGAATTTCAATAAAGCTATACCTGAGTTCGGAGTGCAGTCCTCTCCCCAAGTGGAGTTTCCTTTCTAAGAACTTTCAAACAATGCAACTTGCTCGAGCTCTTTTGTCGTGGATTTTGTTGCATCCGCCTCTTCTGGTACCTAGAAATACCTTGGTAGCTAATAAAATTCCGACGGTTCTACCCCCGGGCTAACTTCATTTGATTCGGGAGAGAGCGCTGGTTCCTGTAGTTGCTATGCCGCGTATTCCTTCCCTTTGCTACTGGAGATCGAAATCGCATTCATCTCTATTAATGCCGGTTTGTCGCCCCTTATCTGTTTAATTCCTTCGGGCGTTGGAAATTTCAGCAACTGATGATACGTTGACGGTAAGCTCTCATCTAGTACCACCATGATCTTCCGAGAATAATATTATATCCCATGTCACCATCCACCACTACAACAGGAGTCGTTTTCATTACCCCTTAAACATTCATGGGCAACAAAATCTCTCCTCAGGCTGTCACACTTGCAAGATTGAATCCATCGAGGTGTTTTATGGCTGGAATGATGCTTCCAATGAGTTTAGTTGCTCCAATACTCTCCATTGTACAATATTGGCTGAACTTCCTGGATCCGCTACAACACGTTTCATTTTAAAGTCTAGCATATTTAAAGAAATTACCAATGCGTCGTCGTACGGTAGCAACAATCTGTCTGTGTTTTCCTCCATGAAAGTGATGTCGTCTTCAGCAACTTCCCGAAGTCTCTTGCTATGGGTTATCGATACTTTTGTCTTTTTTGCTGCTGAGAAGGTGACCCCATTGATTTCATTCCCCCCAAAGATCATGTTAATCGTCTGGCGTGAAGGATCTTCTCCTGCTTTTGAGGGTTCCGCGTTATCCCCGCTGCGACCGTAGTTGTTTTTGGCTCGATCAGTTAAGAATTCTTTGAGATGCCCATTCTTCAACAGTGTCGCCACTTCTTCCCGGAGATGTCGGTAGTCCCCAGTACGGTGGCCATTCGTCCCATGGTATTCACACCACAAGTTGGGATCCCTATGCTTGGGATCGTATCTCATCGGTTTTGGGAACCGTGCTTCTTTGATGTTTCTCATAGCAGACACCAACTCTATTATACTGACGTTGAAATTTTATTCTGACAGCCTGGGGTAGGAAGGATCCCGCGTACCTGATGCTTCTTTGTCCTACAATGATCTATTATTCCTACCGAGATTAGTTCTTCTATCGGTGGTGAACTTGTCCACTGCTTGGAAGCCTCTGCCGCGGCCTACGGTCCGTTCCTAGGGCAAAAACCAGCCCCTTGAAGACAGTTTGTATGTGTCAAAATTGTCTTTTGATTTTTCTCTAATCTTCTCCCGTCCTTTTATCAATGACAGGAAGCGAACCTGATCATCTTCGATCCTTATCTTTGACTCGTACTGGTTGTGGATATCTCCCCAAGTCATTGCTTGAAACCCAAGAAAGCTTTCCTTCAGTTTCCAGGAAGTGTTTGTGTCACGCCCCGACCTCGGGGAGCACGACCGGTGCTCAACAGGGTTACCCTGGTCGAGCAAGCCTTCACAGTGTCGTCTACCCAACTTACCCATAAATAAAGAGAAGAATACACTCATTAATTAGTCAGTAAGAAGTCATATGAACAACACCAGTTCAATTACATTAGTTACGTCATTAACAAGTCTTCAAAATAGTACATTGTACAATCATAGTTAAAGTGGAACAGACGATATGATTATATCATTTTAGTTTAACCTTCCCAAAAATAGATACAACCCATACTATGTCTACGGAGCCTCTAACGGGAATAAAAGAGTGATATGACAGTTCCAGCAACAAGTCCCCCATTATACCTCAAAATGCTATGTACAAAGGATAGGAAATACAAGACCCCGAAATGAAGTAGGTCTCACCAAGTCAGCTGAGGAGAGGGTGTGCTACTATCACTGATCAATACCACCTACTATGGAACCACCAACATCCATTAAAGATGCATCACCCCCAGCAAAAGGGACATTAGTACATATAGAATAGTACTAGTATGTAGAACTAAGCACCCTCTCAATAAAACGAATAACAGTAAACAGAGAAAGAAACAAGACATCAATAAGAGGATCAAATAGTAACAAGGTGTCAAGTTAGGGACAAGTAAATTTCAGTATTTTAATTTGGGAGATCTTTAGAACCGACACACCACCATGTTTTAGCACGAAGTCCGATCTCAGCCCGACCGGCTAAGCCGTCTCACCCTAAGAAATACACTCACAATACCACCATGTACGCGACATAGTGTTCGATCTCAGCCCGATCGGCTAAGCCGTCTCATCACTATGCTGTGTGGATCGACATCACATCACATCTTGCTAGCAATAATCTCATCCCATTTAAGGGGAAACAGTCTAATCACATTAACACGGGAATTTACCCCTCAATCATTCCTACACCGGCACGTGAAGTTTCGGGGTTAGGTTATTCTGACCTACCCTTCATCGATGGCTATACGATACTCCCAAGGCATTTATTATAAGAAGGATTTACTACTCATTTCACATTCTTTTACATGTCATTCATTTTGTTGGCACCATTGGCCATAATGCAATACCATTCTTGGCACGTTGGCCGTACTTCATAATTCATGCTCACTATTTTACTTTCAAACATCATCATGGATAATAAACAATAAGGTTTTTCAATTTATGACTTTTAACACATACTTGAGCACTTTAGGGTCTTAGGAACATGTAATTTCTTACACAATTTGACATGATAGCTTTCATTAGAATCACATTTTTAAATTATAACATAATAACACATAGCCCATACTTAAATTACATTCTCAACGGTGGCTCAACATAACAAGAATTTTTGGAATACATATTGAACGCATATTCATTTTGACACAAGGCTTATTTGGAGTAATCAATTTATAATAAGCATCACGAGACTTACAAGGATATTGTGGGGTTCAATTCTAAGAGAAGAGTTTTGCTAATATACCTCGTCTCGAGCTTTTAAAATTACTACAATATTTCGGAATTCTTAGCCTCGTCTATTTATTTAGAAATATAGCAAAATTGAACACAAATTAGGAGAGAGTTCATAGTCCCAGCTCACTTGAGCATTTTATCAAACACTAGGTGTGCATTAAGGTTTCAAAGTCCTCCTATGGTGGATTCTTTCACCCCACTACCCAAAGTACACACAAAGAGTTCAATAATCCTCTCACTACCCTTGATGGCACATGCATGTAAAAATAAACAACTCTCACACCCAAGAATTTCTTGGATTATTACCTATTTTCAATTAGAATCACTAAATATAGGGTTATGCAGTAGAAACTTACCTCTAGGATGAAGACCTAGTAAATTATTCATGCAGTTTCTTCAACTTAGAGCAAGAATTAATGGATGATGAGCTTAGAAACTTCCTCTCTTACTCTTTGGCACTCCCTCTCTCTAGAATGTATGTTTTTAACCTTCTAAAATGATCCCCAAGATTATTTTATAAGAATGGGGTCGGATCCAAAAATTAAAAAAAATGAAGCCCCGACGCAGGTCTGCGGTCCACAAAATGGGCCGCATAATGGCCCTCCAGAACTGGGCAAGTCTTTCCCACTCTGCGGCTAGTCTGCGATCCGCATACCTGTTCTGCGGTCACATAATGCGTCGCAGAACTTCCCTCTGGAAATTTTCATGTTGGGTCTATGATGGGTTATGCGGCCGCATAAAGGTCCGAAATTTTTGCCCAATTCTCAGCTTCAGTTTGCGGCCGATATGTGGTCTGCATACCAGATCTGCGACCGCAGAATGGCCGCAAAGATGCCCTATATTTCTAAAACATTTCTTCAACTTTTGTTCAACCTAAAAAGTCTAAACCGATCAACAACACATAAGTCTACCCCGGATTTTAGGTGAAATATTTACGGGGCCTTACAGTCTGAAATTCTCGGATTTAGACCCTTGATGAATGCTTCAGCCGCCCATTCATCTTGAATAGGCGGAAGCAACATTCTTTCTTTTTGGAAATAGGTAACAAACTCTCGCATCAACTCGGATTCTCCTTGTGCAATTCTGAATATGTCGGCTTTTCGGGACTGTACTTTTCTGGCCCCAGCATGAGCCTTAATAAAAGAATCCGCGAGCATCTCAAAAAAATCTATGGAATTCTCAGGTAATAGCGAATACCACGTCAAGGCTCCTCTCATGAGAGTCTCTCCAAATTTCTTCAGCAAAACAGATTCAATCTCGTGAGGAGCTAAATCATTCCCCTTCACTGTCATTTTATAGGTGGTAATATGCTCCTGAGGGTTTGAAGTTCAATCAAACTTGGCACGTCAGGCATTATAAACTGCTTCGAGATTAATTCTGGTGCCACACTTGGTTTGTACGGCAACTGAATATACTTCTTCGAGTCCGGCCCTTTCGGCACCGGTGGTGCGGTCAGGATTTAGTCCATGCGGGCATTCACTTACCTCATAAACCGTAAGAGTTCATTCTTGAAAGAATCATTTTTGTTATTGGGGCCGGATCCGCTCCCCTCAGCACCATCGGAGCAAACCTCGCCCATCGGGGTGTTGTTGTCGACCCTTTGCATTGTTTGATTCACTAGAGCGACGGGAGGAACTGGACCCCGTGTATTCGCGTTATTTGAAGCCCTGACAGCACCTGCTTCAACTCCGTCATAATATTACCCTGACATGTGAGGTGGCCTAGAATAATCGTTTGTTGTTCCTGTAGGACCCTCACCGCATCAACAACATGCTCCTCTTCAGCATCATCGGGAGTTGCATCTCGAATATGTCATGGGAACCGCTTGTCGTGGACTGGCGTGGCATTGTTTCTCTCATTGCGGGTGTCACTTACCGAATCCTTGAGATGAGGCTGGTCTGCTTGAACCTCAGGATTGTGTGTGTTGCTAACACCATTACCTGCCATTTTTTATGATTTTTTGTTAAGACAAATAATCAAAACACGTTAGTAAAAAAAGGCAAGGATCAACTTAATTACACGGTTGTCTAGGCCCCACGGTGGGCGCCAAATTGTTTACTCATAAAACGGTACAGATGAATTTTTACGTGATTTTTAGACAAGTGAATTAATTTGATCCTGAAATAATGAAATAATTAAAGAAATACGCAATAATTAGTCTTGAAATAAAGATAAGATCACGAAAAATAGTAATTCGAAGGTAGAGCTTCCGGGCACAATGGTGATGAAACCAAGGAACAAGAAAGTAAAATTGTATAAAAATTTTAATAGATTATAGCGTAAGTTTACTAGAAAAGTCGTGTCCTCTACAATGATAACAGAACTCACTATTTATAGTTGCACCTAGGGAATAAGGACCTAAGATCATGCCCTTATTTAATGTCAATTATGAGTGTCATTGAAGAAGGTGTAACAATGAACATAAATGATAAAGTCTTTATAACGAGCAGCGCACTAAATGTTGTGAAATATTCTTCATTAAATGTTACCGGCCAGAGGGTATTTATTGCGTCTTTATGAGCCTTATTCTTTCCGATAACAGGCGGGACAATTGCCTTCGGTTTTAGCTATCCCCGTGTTAGGTTCCACGTGTCCTTCTCTTAGATGGCCACGTGGCATAGCATATTTTACCCTATACAAAAATATCTGCCACATGCATTTAATTTTGTTACTTCCTAACAATCAAGAGTCGATGTAATGTTAATAATATTGATTTATTTGAACCCAATAGTGTAAGTCCTTATATGCGTTAAAATTTTACAAAATAATAAATAAGATTTCGATCTAATAAATCAAATGGTCTAGGATATTTCGAATTGAAAAATATAAGAGTCATTAGGTTTGAAGACAAGTTATATTGAGATTAGTTATGTTGAGATTATTTATACTGAAATTAATTATATATCTTGATATTATTTTTTATTGACCATTTGATATGTTATATAAATTCTGAAATTATCAATTTTACTGCTTTATCCTGGAATAACTTATCATGAGTTTACTATTTCACCTTTTAACATGTATAAGTTATCCTCGTACTATTTTTAATGTTGAGATAACTTATCCGAGGATTAACCATATAAGGGATAAAGAGGTACTAATTTTTTATCACA